TGCTGTGCATGTTGTTTTGGGTCAAGGATTGTTGCGAACGAATCTTTTGTTTTATAGTATTCAGCCAGAAGTTGATCATGAACATTTTGAGGAAGGTTTTCTCTCTGTAAAAGATTATTTGGTGGCGTAAGAATATAAGGTTTGTCATAGTTCAAAAACTGCATAGTATTAAGGTTTATTTGGATAAGATATTTATCCCAGCTTTTCAAAATTTTTCTTATTGCTCCCCTAACAACAGCTGGAAAATACCGTAATCTTCGCACTTACCATAGCCTCCTCATATGAATCGCTCAAGTATTTCTCTACTGCACGTTCATACTTCGTCCAGAAGCCTTCGTCTACTACACCGTCTATGACAGTTTCTTTGAGTCCTGGCGTTCTTTCCAGCCAGTTCTGGAAAATGGCCCGTTCCAATATACAAAATGAAAAAATACTTTGTAGAGATCATGTCTTAAAGCTCTGCAAACCTGGATAAGCATCAATAAAGAAGGTTCATGCTCACTTTCTTCTACGGCCTGCACTTCGTCTTTTTTCAGGAACACATTTTTGTAATGTTGTGCATTGTACTGAAAATAACAGCAATAATTTCAGATACAGAATTGTCTACAGAACTGCATTCACAAGACTGTTACCTAGCTGAGATAAGCATCAAACGGCTATTGTGCTTTGTAAAGTCCTCAGAATTTTTGTTCAAGTTTTTCAAAGTTTTACTGTAAGATGGTTACATGGTAAAATTACTACTCTATGTGCTTGACAAAGTAACTCTTTCTATCCAAGTTGTAATGTCCAGCATATAAGAAAAAATTGGGGGTTGTCTACGAAATTTCAAGAAATTGTACTTGTTTTTGTCCAAATATAAACGGCAATCTAGCTGCCGTGGTCATGCTCAAAGTCCTGACACGAACTCTTTTCAAAAGCATTCGTGTTAGAACATACAAAAGGTAGAAAATGTGTTATCGTATTATTGTAGAAACACACCTTGATCCTTCTATCCAGTCGAACTCCCATTTTATTCTCCAAGAGTCTGAACTGTAATGACTGGAAGCCGGATGCAGGTGTGAGGTATTTTCTGTAAAAATGGATTCATCAAGGTTGAAATTTTTTCTCTGTAATGGACACAAAAGAGCCCTTCAAGTTCGATTGTGCATATATGGTCTCACCTGAAATCGACGAAGTCCAATGGACTCATTGTATCGAGGATTGTTATCTGATCGACAAGTAGTTTGAG